CATTGGAAAAAGAAAAGGTTTTTTTAAGGTCCAATAATGGCCTTGATAACCAAAATTGGATTCGGGGGTCGATTACGTGTAGAGAAGGTATTAAGCACCCCTACAATGCCCTAAATCGGTACCCTATGATAAAATTAACACGATAAAAATTAATAAATTAAATATTGAATCCCCTTTATTAATGTTTATTTACATGCTTAAAATATAAATTAAGCGATTAACTCTAAAATATCATTATGACGTTTATTATAACAAAAAAAGATAAAGATGAGAAATAAAAGGGAGAGAAGAAGATTGACTGAAATACCTCTTGAACGAGCTTTATTGAATCTTCAAATATGGAGAAGGTGCTTTGTGGCGACCTTTCACACTATAATATGTCTCACAGATCTCAAGAAATATAATAGGAAGGAGAAAGAAGATAGAGATGCGACACAAATCTCAAGAAATACAATAGAAGGAAGAAAGATAGAGAATTTTCGTGCTCAAAGGAGTCTTATATTTATATTTTTAATTTGTATTAATATACAATTTAACATGTAATTTTTTATGTATTTTTTTACAAAATAAAAATAAAAATAATTTTAAATAAGATAGAAAAATTGAAATTTAAAATAAGATATGAATTTATTAAAATTTATAAGTATAAAATATATTTAATATGAATTTTTTTAATAAAAATTGAGTCATGCGGTTCAACTAGTGACCTACCGATTCAACTTTTGACCCACTGACCCAGTACCTTAACCAATTCGATGACCGGTCCGGTTTTTAAAACTATGGTCCTTTGTCCGCACTTTAAAAGTTGAGCTGTCAACCAGACTCGATCATATCATAAATTCAATTCCACAGGTCAGATTAGTTTAATATGTAAGTATAATATTGAGTTCATGACTTGTTTTTCTAAAATTTAAAAAGTTCCATTGAATTTATCACAATGTTTAGTTCCTAAACTTTTCAGTTATTCAAATAATTTTAAATTTTTTTATTTGTTTTTATAGTTTATATTAAATTGAATCTTACAAACACCTCCAAGCAAAACCATCGATCCCACTTCCTTTTTGCCATATATGTTCATCGTGAGCATGGGAAGAATAAATAACTTAGTGCCTCGCTGTCTCTTAGGTGCTTCTTTTTGTTCACTCATGTTTATACAGTAGCAATTTTTGCATCGTGTTGGTCAAGTGACATAGACATATAATGCCTACGTGTTGAGTACAATTTGCATTTATTTGAAGGTTACATCCAATTCGAGCAACCCTAGCTACCTCAATTCTGGTCTGCCACAGCTAGCTTAACCCCACCTCTTCATCAGAAGCAGCATAAAGGTCAAAAAGCATTCACGTTAACATGTGCTAGAACTACAATAGTAAATCAAATGTGACGTACCTGCAGCATTATTAGGTAATAAATTAACAAAGACCAAATTACACTTTAATTTGAACACGTATCATTCTTTATGGCTTCTGTTAATTTATTAATATAAACGAAGAAATTATAATCATGAAATAATTATCTACTATACGTTTGTTGTAGACGAAAATGAGTGAGAAGAAAAAGAAGAGCGAAGAGAAAATAAATTTCGCTCGTTTGACAACGACGAAAGTCACAGTTCACGCTTTTTTTTTTTTTTTTCTTCACAAAATAAGAAAGAAATAAATAGTAACATGTCTAACATTCAAAATTAATCGACTGAATTTATTTATTTTTTTTGCAATAGAATTTTTTTTAGTTTTCATTAGAAAATGTATGTGTTATTAATTTAATGGATTAAAATTTTGATTTAGTTGAGAAAAAAAAAATCGACTGTTTTCGTTGATTTTATCGATTAAGTTAAATTTTAATCAATTATTTAATTTGAAAACTATTTTAAATTATTATTAAATAATGTTATTTCTGCTCTATTTTTCTTTCCTCTTTTATTATCTTCTCTATTTTTCTTTATCTTATTCTTCATGTATTTCTTTCATTCCTACCAAATATAATGTTAATGAAAATATTTTTTCTTTTTCAGCTTTCAGATGAATTAATTCAATAAAAATTATTAAATTTCAATTTAAATCGTCATTGATTATTTTAAGGGCTACAATAGTAAATTTAAAAATGGCAAAAAACAAAAACTATCTTTGAATTTCTTACAAAGAAAGAAAAATTATATATATATATATATAACATCTTCGTATATAATAAATTAAAATGCAATCTCTCAAGGGAGTGTAATTTAAAAAAATTGTAATTTAAACATATGTCCTGAAACTAAAGGAGTTAAAGTCTAATTTGACCTAATATTAGGTACCTATCACAAATCATAAATCACAATTTTTGGAAATTGGAACTTCTACCGTCTAAAAGAGATTTGCATAATATGTAGATTTTAGTGCAATAATTCATATTTAGTATGTTATGTCTACATTTTTATGGCTATATAAGATCAGCTAGCTTTTAGAATATGCTTGAGATTTATATAAACTTTTAAAAACTGAACAATTTCAATCCCACTTTAAGATGAGAGATCCACAAATGAGTTGGAATATAATGCCAAATATTATTACACCGATCGATTACAAATTGACCAATGACAATTAATTGTAAAATCAATTCATCAACTTCATTGATATATAACCTGCTAATATAGCTAGTCTCACTTTATTAAAAGTGATTAATATAAAATTACAGTTTTCAAATGCACATTGTAAAAGGGGATGAACCATATCTTCAGCATTGAAATTAAACAATCATGGTATAGAATGATATCGTCAATTCCTACGTGGAGCCCTCGGAAAGACAAACAAGAAGAATAATGAATGGGCCTTACCATGTCCCGTAATACACCATTATAAGTCATGGGGATGATTTTAAAGTGGGGAACAGTCAAATTGTTGCTTAAAAATAATGGGGCATGGCATGCTCTCAAACCTTGTGGCTTTTGAGACTCTATTACATGGCCTTGGTCCTGCCCAACAAGGGTCCCATCCTTTAAGAGTAGTCAATTATACCAGCAGAATTATGCAAGTCCTTTTTTGGTTCTTTACCTCTATCTTCTCTCGTGACTTGGCAAAACCAATTTTGCACCAGAATATGGTAGACTGCATGACCCATGTTGTGTGAAACATGCTGTCCTCACAGATGAACAAATGTTCCAAAGAAGAAAGAATTCCCCATAGTGTTTTACTTGTACCATGATGAACGTGGAAGCATAGATTAACGCTTGAAAATATAATTTTACTTGCGTACAATTTTTTTGTATACAGTTAAGAAAGTGAAATTGGACATAATTCAATCATACAACATCCATTGTTATCATATTGATTAAGTAAAATTAGACTTATTTTAACTTTAAAGGATTTATTTGTAAGGTAAGAATTTATTGTCCACTTATATACACAAATATAATTATTTTATGAATTGATGTGAGATCTCCAACTTTTATTTAATTTCATTAATACTGAAAATAAAAGATGAAAAATATAATAAAAATTATGTAAGTTATGTAAAAACATGTTTTGTGTAGTACAATTCTTGAGTAATAATTTTATAAAAAAAATGCCTTTTCAAATTTAAATTTTAAATATATAGTTATATTTAATAATTAAAGCCAAAAATTTATCATTATTTAATTCAAAAAGTATTAACATAAATGATAATAATTTGTATCTTTTTAATTAAAATATTCAAAATTTAAATTATAATTTTGAGTTTGAAATAAACTATATTAAAAGAGAGAATATCCATGTTATGTGGGTTCACAATCCCTAATATAGATTCATCACTATATTACATACTAATATCATGAATATTTAAAAAATAATTCAAAAGGCATTATCTCTTTTAAAAGGAAAAACGTATATCTTAAATATACAACTATTTTAAATATTTAAACAAAATTATCGTTCATATGTATGTCATGACTGAAAAATCATATGTATTAGTATTAACCACGTACATTGTAGATGAAATGAAAGAAGTCATTTCAAATGTCAAGAAGGTCATTTCACTTATTAAAACCGTAATAAAAGTGATCAGCCCGTACACTTTTACTTCACCACCTACCCATTTTTCTTTTACAAAATAATAATAATAATAATTAAATGTGTTTTTAATTCAAATTAAAAATAAATTTATTTTTATCTCTCAAATTAAAATTTATTTTTTAATGTCTGAAATTTTTAAAAATTTTGTTTTATTATCACAAATTACTAATAATATATCTAAAAGAAATAACTTAAAATAATTATACAACATTATCTACATTTAAGTGTGTGTGATATGTTTATTATCAGCAATACTAGTAAATAGATTTATACAATAATATTTAATAAATTCGTTAAAAAAATTTAAATATAATAATTAAAATAAAATCTTTAAAAATTATAAAGATTAAAAAAATTAACTTTAAATTTAAAAGATTAAAAATAAATTTACCTTAAATTTAACGAATTAAAAGCATATTTAAATCTAATAATAATCTTTACATGTATTTCCATATACATATTATTTTAGATATATAATTTTAATTTTTTAAAAATTACACAATAATAATTAAATAAAAAAATTTAAATAAAAAAAAAAAAAAAAAACGTCTTCTAACATATTAGTATCTCCTTTGAATCTCTTAATAACTATCTATTATCTTCACCAACGTATGTACATTTAAAGAATGACAAGTCTTTTACCTACCAGTAATAATAGTAATAATAATACCCTTGATACTTGTAAACAATTTTGTGGAAGACAAAAAAAAAAACGAAAAAAGATGGGGTACGTGGTTTCTCATTATAGGAAATATGATTTACTTTGTTCAACCATGCAATCCCCAGGGGGCTACCTATCTATCTAGTCAATGAGAAACCTGTCGCATAAAACAATTTTCTAAAATATAAAAATTATCATGAACAAAACATGTGACTAAAATTCGAAAATTAAATCCTCATTATACAGCATGGATCTGTTTATATTTCATGTTAGGTAAAAAACAATTAATTGAGGTTTTGAGGTCAGAATATCTTTGTTCTTCCCCAATTATATAAATATTCAAGAAGAAAGCAAAGTGCAAACAAAGGCTATATAGGTAGCAACATTAAGAGGTGCAGAGATGTGGATGACACAGCAGGGTGGGGTAGTTATCGTAAGATCTTAATAAAACTGGAGTTGTATTTAGCAGTTTTTCAGAAGCGAAGGGTTAAAAGGGCGTGTTTGTTTCTCATGAAGCGACAAAATATTTAAAGGAGTTAAAAGCTAAATCAGGTAATGAAGAGGTCCTATTTAAACAACGGATCTTATATTCTCTCCAGTTTTGTAGCCTGCAGCAATCTGCACAATTTGCATTTAATTAAAGGCTGTCTTTTTATTTAATGATCGATGCAGAGAAATAATGATGATCGCATCTTCTCTTATGAAACCCCAATGAGCAAGTGAACAACCCCTTGTCCTTTCAAATTCAAGGAACTGTGGTATATATATTTATGCTTTTTGTTTCATTTTCATTGACAGCTTCTAGCTGTCTCTGCTGCTGCTGGGTAAGTCAGGTAACAATTAATGAGTTATGTAGATTTTCCAGGTGGTGTGGTGAAGTTTCCATGCCATTAATAATACATCATGATCATATTGCTAAGTGTATCTTTTCTCAGAATATGAAAGAAAAAGAGGGAAAAAAAAAAAAAAAGTTCAGACAGATGAAGGGTTAAGAGTTTTCACATGTCCAGAAAAAGCTCTTTCTTCATTATATTATATAGTTCATTTCATTCTTTTTTAGTGCTTGGTTTGGTTTGTTATATTTACCCTTCTCAAACTGATTACTAACTCTTCTTGGCCTCACAGGATGGAGCCACCTCATGTGATGTTGGGAAGTAGTGAAGAGGAATGTCACAGCAATGAATCTGGATGGACCATGTACATTGGTTCCCCCAGAGACGAGGATGATGCACATTGTGGTGATGAGGAGAATGATCGTAGCATGGATTATGATTATGAAGGTGCACAAGCTGACCCAGATGCTGAAAGTGACGATTCTATGGCTTCTGATGCTTCTTCTGGCCCAAGTCATTATGGAACAATTAATCCATTGGGGAATGGCTTCACAAATTTTGAGCCAAAGGAGGAAGTGGAGTCAGATCACAAAGCAAGTAAATCAAAGGTGGAGGAGGAAAGGGTAGTGGAAAAGAATGAAACGCTGTTCATCAATAGCCAAGGTAAGGCTCCTCATCAAGTTCAGAATGGTAGCAAAGTCAAGGTGAATAAAAACCATAGGGTGGGAAACAGGAAATAATATGTAATATTTGAAGGATTTTATATGGCAGCAGGTTTAGCTTGTTTTCTTAATAGGTTTTAGTATTTGTTGTTACAAATTAATTACCATGTATTGTGTACTGTGTTTCGTTTCAGAGACATATATAATGTTAAAATTTGAATCAAGAAAATGTCAAGGCCCCACGTTAATTAATTAGCTGCAGCATGCATAGATTAGTGGCATTTATGCAAATCTGGTTAATTTCTAAACATCACTTGCTTTTTTTTTTTTCATGTCTAGTACTATAGTTTATGTATCATGAACAATAGGTTATGACGTGTATAAGGAGTTTGAACAGTGAGTCAAATTACTATACAATAATTTTAATGTTTAGCATTTTGTCGTCTTTAAACAAGGCGTAGTTAGAAAATACTCCAAATTGCATGGATGGTGACTTAACACCGAAACTTGGTTGGTTGATTTAGTCAAAAAAAAAGCAGTTGAAACAGGAGGAAAAGAAAATTGCTAAATATACAAAAAAAAATAAAAATCATGACAACTGTATTTGATTTGATTTGATTACATGATTAGTCCTTGGGAAGTCACTTTAATAGCAAAAGAGACGATGTCTTTATCGTTGATTAAAAAACAAGGAAGTGGACAATGGAATATTAAATATATTATTTGTTAGGGATTCATATCATTACGGGTTGCATGATATGTCTAACTAACTTGTCACTCATGATTCTTGTATTTGAAGGTTAATTAGGAACTCATTACTGGAGGCATGATGCGTGGTGCGTTTATTAACTAAATAATCCTTCATGATTCTTGTATTTGAAAGTTATTTATGCGTGGAAGTTGAACATCAATTTTTCACATGAAAAAGTATATCACCACAAATCAGATTTTAGGAGGGGAACAGTTAAGTAACTTATTATAGGAAGAGCATGTCATTATATTGGATTTCATATTAAAAAAATTATATATATTAATAATAAAATTATTGGATAAATCAACTTCTATATATTAAAGACAAATTTCTATTTTGTGTAAGAGTATTTTAGGATTTTTTCTTTAATGAAAAGATTTTAGAAATTTTTTAAAATTCTTATCTAATTTAACTTTTATTTATTATAATTATTTATGAATTAAATTTTGATATTTTTAAAATAAATTATCAATAAATAATATTATTATTATACTACAATATAAATTATTTATTAAAAGTTTAAAATATAATTTATATGTTTAAAAGTATTTTATTGGTTTAATCAAATTTCACATCACTTTTAAAACTTTTTATTCTCAACTTCTTTAGAAATATTATTTTCAAGGATATGATTCTTGAAATTTAGTATATATAAAATATGTTTGATTATAATATTTAACTTTTTCTAGGAATATGTTTACAATTAATCAAACATAATGAGAAAGTTTAATTTATTTTCAGGGTGATGGTGCAAAAGTTTTATTTTTACATAGTTTTATAATATTTTTTTAGATAACGTAGTTTTTATACTTGCGCAAATAAAAAATTGTAGAAAAAAAATTATATTTGCACAAATCAACAATTGTAGAAAAAAAATTAAGTTTTATACATTGTGAAACTTTTTTTTCTACGAATATTTAATAAGAATTTATCCTATATCATTGTATCATCTTATATGACAACAACCTGAATTCTTTTTTAATGATTGTGTAAAAAAGCTTTTTTATTTAATTGCTACATATTTAAAATTTAAAATAATGTAAAATACAACTTCAATTTAATCTTTTATTATTAAGTCAGTTTTAGTAATTATCTAAATAAATTAAATTAAATACTTTTAGAAATATTAAAATATTTTTTTTAATTTGTCAAGTATTATTATGTGAATCAATAACTCATTAATTTGAATGGTACTAAATTTAATTTTTAAAAGTATTACTAAAAGTAGTCACTCAGATAAAAAAGACAAAATATTACAAATTTCGGAGATGTATTCGGTTTTTAAAAGTACAGTAGTACTCAGGGAAAATTATAAACAATTAAAATCTTTAAGTAATTAAATGTTTGCAATTTTGTTGCCATACGTACATATAAATTATGATTGAATTAATATATAATTACGTGCATGGGGGTTAGAAAATTTCAATGCTTTATGCTAAGATGAATCTCCATCATAATTAAGTATTTCTAAATCATGTCCTCTTTGTCTCTCTGGATTACACCCTGCTTAATTCATTGATAAATCTTATAAACCTCAAATAAAGGAAAAAGGATTGTATAAATGTTAATGTGACATTTAAACATGAAGACGCTGTTTCTGTACCTGTGTTTTAGGTGCTGGTGCTGAGTTTATCTCCGATAATGTCATACATATAGAAATTATCATTATAAATTTAATATATCTAAATATAAATATATTTAATATATAATTAGATTTAAAAGAATTATAAAAATTGATGACAATATCTGTGGTATGGACCGTGCAGAACATGACATGTGAAGGAAACTCGTAGCAACTAGCTAGGTTCCATCATCAAACATATGAACATCTGGTAGTGCGCCTCGTTCAAAATATGGGGGTACAAATCATTGATGACATGCTTTGAGGACAAGGTCGCTTTCCATTTGGAAGCTCCTGCTGGCAGATATAACCAACCACGTCACCATATATTCATATCATTATTTTCTCTACCATGCCCATCTACATGCAAATGTTAATCCAGAATATTACGCCACCCAAAACTATACAGAATAAAATAATAATGCCGATGGCATAGGATTATTCCTTCTTTTGGAAAAAAAAATGAAGTTTGTCTACACCCTTTAGGATTTGTTTAGTAAAAAAAAAAAATACGTAAAAAATAGAGTAGGAAAAAATAAAAAAGAGATAAATAATTGAGTAAAAATAGGTTAAAAAATAGAGTAAAAATTTTGTTGTTTGATTAAAGAAAAATAGATGAAAAATAGGTAAAAAGTTAAGGTATATATAAAAAGAAAGTGATAAATAAATAAAATAGAGTAAAAATGAAAGAAATAGAAAATAAAATATTTTTAAAATGGATTTTTATTAATTATTTTATTTTAATTAATTAAATAAATAAATTATATAATTAAATAAATAATATTTTGAAATAAATAAATAACTAATTAAAAATAACTCAATAATTCTAAATTAATTTTTTTAGATTAAAAAATAATTAAAATAATAAATTTATATTAATTAAATAAATTTAAAGTATATAAACATTTTCAAATATAATATAAAAAGTTTTGTAATCAAATAAAAAAAAAATTGTATTCAATAGAAGTTTCGAAATCGAATAAAAAAAATTGTAATCGAATTCGTAAGATGTTAAACTACTAATTTGTAATTTGAAGACTACTACTTCTCTAGATCTTAAACTAATTTGCAAGATGTTGAGGTAAAACCTCATCGATAGTAATACCTACGAATGAAACTCGCTCAATGAAAGATTGCCAATGGAAAGTGAAACGTCGATTTCTTCTTCATCTGTCATGTTAGTGGAGAATTCAATCATGTTGACGTCTTATTTCAACTTAAAATAAGTAAGTTATTTCCAAGTTTAAAGTTTGAACATCAAATAAGGTACAATTTAAATAATATACGCGTCACAAGTGTTTTTTTTTTTTTAAATCACATGTAACACTCTAAATTTTTTAAATAAAATAAGAATATATGCTTTTAAATTAATTAAATGTGTTTTATATATGAAAATTAAGAAGAGTTTTATGAAAATAGGATTATATAATATATATATATATATGTTATTTTAGGATTATGTTTATTTTAATTAATAAAAGATAATTAGAAATGTTTGATCATGTGTTTGTTTCTTTAACCTAAGAATGGATTTAGGAGATATCAAAGGGTTAGTCCATTGGTTTTCACTTTTAAGTTATGTGCTTCTTATTTTCGCTTCTCTAAATTTAGAGACACTAGGAGAGAACACTCAAACTATAAGAAGGAATTGCCTCAAAGATCCCTTGCCATCATCATATATTTATCAAGGTTAGGAGAGTGAGTTACTCATTCATGGATGCAAGATAATTATTGAGTAATGGAATTGACTCCCAATCTTCTTGTTTGGTGATTTGTGTTGCTTATAAGGAACTTTGAGAGCTCCTTAAATTGCTTGTGTGTTTATGACTTATTTTTGAATATTTTTATTATTTTTGTTGGAAGTGAATTGCGCTATGAAAGATTTGTATGTGTGAATTAGTTGTTGATATAAGTTATTGTAAAAAAAATCCTTATGTTATTGTAGAAACTCCAAATTTATATAGTAGAATGAAGATCGGATTATATGACTAGAGGTTGAGTAATTAGTGTGTAAATTGAGTAACAAATGATGCAAAGGAGTAGTATTAGGCTTCAATTCATGTTTTGACCGCTTGGGATGGATTGAAAGTGAGTTCATACCTTGTGCAATTTTTGCAATTTCAATAGTGGGACACAAAACTACTATCATGTTGGGCATGGGGACAATGGAAAGGGTAGTTAACAAGTTGATTAAGATTTTTTGTTTGGTGTTGAAACTCGAAAAGCACCGACATTGTCATAAATGGCCTGGTCCTCCATTTGAAAATTTCATCAGCTTTGAATTGTCCGAAGATCGAACTTTATTCTTGCTTTTATTGTTAACAAGAGTTAGAGACCACTTTAGTATTGTTATTTGCTTTTCTTATGTTCAATAAGATATTTGTAATGAATTGTTCTTTGTTTTATTATGTTGGTGAAATGTGTAAGTGAACTTTGCAAAAGGACAATAAATGTTGGGTAGGCAATCACATAATTTTAATTTAAATGAATATTGGGTTTATGATACCAAACAATAAATTATGTTTCACCCATAAATTATACAAGAATATCTATAGGTGACTTCAAACATGAGCCTCCTAATTTTGGTTTGTTAGTTCAATTTTTTGCTAGATCTAATGTGGAATTGTGTATTGACTCATTTTTTGTTTTTTCTTTCTTTCTTTCTTTCTTGCTTTTATGACCTCTTAGTAAGGTATCTTGTCTAATGTTTGAGGTCATAACATAATGTGGTGATGATTCTAGTATATTTCTAATAATATAAATTTAAAAGAGGATTATATGAGGTCTCATTGTGTATACACACTTGAAAATGATACTCATCCTTTAATAATTTCAATTATGTCATTATACTATTACTCAAAAGAATACATTTGGAACTATCTTAGTTATTGTGCCTCAAATTGACACTAACAAAGAAAACAAAGTTAAATTAAAAATCACCTCCAAAAGGGTGCAAAACATTGCCACTATGAGCCTTTCCTTTTCTGCATTTACCATAACCATGTGTACTAGGCTTTGGAAAATTCCATTGCTTAGAGTTTATTTCTCCCATTCAAATCTTGATTACATCTTGATGCTTAAAATGTATTTTTTGCATTCAAATATTAATTACATCTTAATAGTAATAACGTGATTGACATTGAGGTATGTAATATGATATTGAAATATGCGTGTAATACAAGAGCATGCTAATTGGTGTATGTGATATGATATTGTAATATGATTGTGATACAAATTCAAAATTGTACTCTTTTATGAATGTTAAGTGGAACATTGAACAAAATTTTGCACAACACTTAACCTAGCAGTGGAAAATTAGTGCAATAACTTTTATAGCTATGTAAATTCAATTACTACTTGATATAATTGTGTCCTAATTTGATTTTCTTAAGCAAAGGTTTATGTAAATATGTGTCTATCATCTTGAAAATAGCACAATACATTGATATAGTATACATTTCAATTAGTCAAATATGATCATATCATGCAGACATGAAGTACTAATATTGTTTTCTCTTTATCCTTTTATAGAAAACATGTAAGACTACTAATCACTATTTATATATTATCGATTTACTCTTTAATTTAGTCATTTTATTGAGATAATTACAAGGAAGCTTGAGCACCATAATTACTAAGACACATTATGTTTTGTTGACTCAAGCATATACTACAAAAATCTAAAGTCAAGTTTATTATTGTTAAAAGGCCAAGTTTGAGCCTAAGGCTGAGTTGTTGCAACTCGAAAATTTCTGATCTTGCGACCTATGGTTTAAACATCCTTTTGAAAATCTCATCAATTAAGAAATGCTCGGAGACCAGACTAATTCTTAATTAATGATTTTTAAGAATGAGTTCATGGAGTCGCCACCAATGTTTTCCTCAAAACATTGGAAAAAGAAAAGGCTTTTAAAAGTCCAATAATGGCCTTGATAACCAGAATTGGGTTCTGGGGTCGGTTACGTGAAGGGAAGGTATTAAGCACCCATACAACGCCCTTAACCGGTACCCTATGATGAAGTTAGCATAGTAAAAATTAATAATATAAATATTTAATCCCCTTTGTGAATGGTTATTTACATGCTTAAATTTAAATTAACCGATTAACCCTAAAATGTCTACATGGTTGCTTTTATTATAACTATTTAAAAAAATAAGAAATAGAAGGAGAGAGGAGTGTTGATGGAAATACCTCTTGTCCAAGCTTTATTAGATCTTTAAATATGGAGACTTTTAAGCGCTTTTTGGCGACCTAACACACTACAAGTTCCTCACAAAAATCTCAAGAAATACAGAGGAGAAAGAAAGAGAAATTTCGAGCTCTAAGGAGTCTTAGACGAAATTTTCTAGCCCTGAGTACAGTGTCTGAGTCTACTATTTATAGACATTAGAAATGGCCAGAATGGCCCGTTCTGGATTCAGAAAAGCCCATTCTAGAAGTAGAACGACCCATTTTGAATTCAAATTTAACTGATGATAAACTATGCTGGAACGACCCGTTCCAAACTAGGATTTTAGGTCTTTTTAGTAACTTGGAATGGTCGTTCTAGTTTAGGAACGACCTGTTCCGAGTTGGGAATGACCTGTTTCGATTTTAGAACTGCTCGTTCTGGGCTATTAAAACTAGCTTGTTTGAGCTTCAAGCTTCCTTGTTGTCATATGGTGTTGCCTCCATACATTGGGATCTCCTCCTCTTCATAGTAGACGTCCATTTCATTGCTTTTGTTGGTCTGGACGAAATTGGGTGTCTACATGATTTCGAGCCTAACATGATAATAAAAGGCCAAATTTGAGCCTAAGGCTGATTTCGAGCCTAAAATGACTTTAAAAGGCCAAGTTTGAGCCTAAAGGCACATTCAAGCCCAACATGATTTTAAAATAATTTAAAAAGCCAAGTTCAAAGCCTAATCGATCTTAAAAAGTTGAGTTTTAGCATAATCCTATTATAAAGATTGAGTTTAAGCTTATTACTTAAAACCTGAGTTTGACCATACTCTTATTATAAAGGCTAAGCTTGAGCATGTTCTATGAAAGTCAAGTATGAGCTTAATCTTATTAAAGGTTGAGTTCGAGCCTAAAACTTATTTTTAGAAGTTGAGTTTGATCCCACCTTATAGAGCTTTAGTCTAAGCTTATACTATAAAATATCAAATTTGAACCCTGGACAATGTGGTTAAGGACACAAGTCAACACTACTACCACTTTGCCAACCAATGAGCTTGAATCATTAAATTCAAATACAATTAAACCATAAAAGGTCAAGTTTGAGCTTACTATGATTGAATTCGAAACCAAAACTTGGTACTTTTTAATGGTTAGGAGTGAATTATGACAAAATTTTTGAAAATTGAATGCAAGGTCACAATAAACAAATTGAAGAAAGATGAACAAAAAACACTAGGTTAAACACAAGCTTTAAAGTGTGATTCAAATATTATGAAAATTGATAAGGAGTTGTATAATTTGTAACAAAAAAATGAGATCAAGAGAATTGAGTTGAATATTCCTTGATCAAAATTATTAAGTTCATTCATAAGGTTGAATGTTGAGTTATCTAACAAAACTTGAGTTCAAGCTTAGAGCATGTTTAACTCAACCAAGTCGACCTTAACAATAATTATATCAACTTTCAAGTATAATTATCTCAACCTCTAGTATAATCAAAGTTAAAATTTTGGCATATATCAAGTTAATAGTTTGGGGGCTTGAGGTATTTTTCTTAGCCTACACTAAACTTGTTAATAAAAATACAAAAAAGAAAAATTAATGAACTTAATTTTATATGTATCAATCAAAAATTCAAAATTAAATTTATATTTATGATATTTAAATCCTTTGAACAAGGCAAATGCCTTGAAAAGAGAAGTGTTTTAGAATTATAAATAATAGTGTTGTTATGAAAGTATTAGAACTTTTGTGTATGTTCATCTTAATTTCATAAAATATTTTTTTTTCAACTGGATGCTCAAGTTTTTAAAAGGTCGAGTTCGAATTCAACCTAAACTTGTACAAGGGTAAGTTCAAACTTGAAACTTAGTAACCATGAATGATAAAAACCAAATCAAGTCTTAATATCATAATGTTGAGATTAGACATACACTTCAAATACATCATAAAGTCATTTGTAAATATTTTAAGCTCCTTTACTTTTTCAAAGCTTAGAGCTTGACGGTTTGCGTACTATCTAAGAAGATAAGGTAACCAACTAATAGTCAATCTCATAAATAACCACCTTCTTAATAGGTAATCACCTATCCCATTAACATAAAACAAGATAAGTATAGATTGACTTTGAATTTTTTTTTAATCTTGAACTCTAATGAATCATTGACTAACTTGATCGTTGAAGTTCTGTTTACAGGTATCCAACTAGTTTTTCCAAAGAAAATTTAGAGAAGAAAATTGAAATCAAAAGAAATGAAAAAGAAAGATAAATATTAAGAACTTCATCTTAAAAAAAGAGTATAGATTCACATACTCAGATCTTATTATATTTTGGTAAAAAACAAGTTCTAAATTAATTTTAAGTTTATTTAAGTTAAAAAATACCACACCAATTCCACCTTAACAATAAAAAACCATATCTACATTTATTTTTGCGATTAAAAATACATTTATTCATATATTATGACGCATACTAAACGACTTAAAGCATTCGCCATGAGATAGAGAATGAACGAAATGGCAGGCTGAAAGTAAACGACGACGTGGAGGAAGTTGAACCTCGTCGTATCATCTGCTTCCTTCACTTCCCTTCTTTTCCTTCGCGTTCCATCTCTTCCCACTATCACCCCATTCATCCTCACACAAAATGTCGAAGCTCCTTCTACACTCTTCTCCCCTCACTACCTCCATTCACCGCTGCAACGCTTTATCTTCCGCTTTTTCCCTTCAATTCCAATGCCGATTCTCCTCTTCTCTTCTCTCTCGTCCCCACCCTCTCCGCTCCCACGCGCGAAGAGGAGGCCTTTCCCCGCGCGCATTCGATTCGTCTTCCGACGCCAAGAGCGCAGAAGAAGCAGAGGATAAAGAAGGTGCCGTTGAGAATCGGAGTGTTATGATCGCCGATGAGGATTATCCCAGTGGCGAGTTCGATTTTGAGCCGATTACCGGATGGAGAAGCTTCCTCGTGAAGCTTAAGATGCTGCTCGCGTTCCCTTGGGAGCGTGTTCGCAAGGGAAGCGTCCTCACGATGAAGCTTCGCGGCCAGGTTCGCTTCTCTGTTTTCGCAGGAAAATAGGAAATGTGTGCACTAATCGCTAGTTAACTCTGACACCTGTTGAGTGGAAGAGAGAGAAGTAGGTAAGTAGATACGCACTCCGTTTGGATGAATTTCTCCTTCAAGGAGAGAAAATTGGGGAATAAATTTTTCCATGAATTAAAACTAGGTTAAACATTAGTTAGTTAAAAATAAGATTTCAGAAAAGTAAATAGGAGATAGTTTCATGGAAAAACTTATTTCATTAAGTTCTGGATATGTTTAAATGTAGGTTTATGAGAGATATAGAGAAAGAAATAATAAATGATTCGGGTGTAGGATATGTGAAAGTATGTGCATATTATCACTCAAATAGGAAAAAAGAGCGGTGTGCAACATATTTTTTTTGGTTCATTCCTAAGGAGTATTTCTTGTGGACAAAACATCAAATAGGTAGACAACTCCTCCTAACTTGAGTTTTCTGCGCAAAAGAAAGGATTGGTTAAATGACGTGAATTCTTCGCCACTTGCACCAACTTGGGTTGGTGGTGTGCAGCATAATAACATACGGAGGTATAGAGAGAAATAAAGAGAAGGGGAAAATAAAAATAATTATAGTAGATGATATGCGGTGATAAGATCTAGGAGATAGAGAAATAATTGTTGGTGATAGAGTCTATGATGTATGTGTAGGTCTCCACAAATTGTTAAGAAAATAGCCACGTATTTGTCTTGGGAGTAATTTTAGCAGATAGTAATAGAAGTGGATATTAATAAGACATTTATGATTTTTTTCTAATTACTAATTTTTTTATTATTGAAAACTAAAGTATATTCAGACACGCAAAGTTAGGAATAAAATTTATTGAAATGATGGGAGTCCTAGACTTGTAGTAAACAGCAAAGAATGTGTCAGTATTTTGCGTTATAGAACCGCTATTTTTCATTTGATTTTAGAAACATTTGTATAAGAAAGGATGAAAATAATAGTTAGTATTTTTATTATTTCTTTTAGTATTTTTATAAATAAAATAAAAAGTAAGGTTATAATTTTATAACTAGTGATGCAAAAAACTAAATTTCTTAAACCAGATTAGTTCTAATAGTAACAAATAGTCACATACATTTCCTAAAAAGCACATATACGTCTGATATGTTTGAATTCAAAACGTTGTGTTGTTTCACATGTTTCAGATATCTGATCAAGTGAAGAGTAGGTTCTCTTCAGGACTTTCTCTGCCTCAAATTTGTGAGAACTTTTTGAAAGCAGCATACGATCCTCGTATTTCTGGGATTTATCTTCATATTGATAGTTTAAATTGCGGGTGGGGTAAAGTAGAAGAAATTCGAAGGCACATATTGGATTTCAGAAAATCAGGTAAAGCTCTGGACTTGTATTGCAGCTTTCATATGGAATAAAGAGGAATGTGGAAACATGCAAATCCAAGCAATTCTTCATATTATATGCTGTTTATAGAAACTTATATCAGAGTCAAATGAACCGGTGAAGAAATTACCAAGAAATTCTGTAAACTTACATAAGCAAGTTACATGTATGTAATTACTGATGGCTTCTATGGCTACACCCCTTCAAAACGCCAAGTTACTATTGTTTCTTGGACATTTTATCCCTTCACTGCCAATGCATATACCATGAAGTTTTAGTTCCTTGCATATTAGTTATCTTAAACCCTCTATAGAATAAAGAAAAAAGGGCTTGTTTGATTATTTTGCCAGTTTTGGGTTTTAAAAGCTGTTTTTTAAAAACAATTTTATGCTACTCACCAATTAATTTCTCACCCAAAATCTATCAAGTTTTGAAAATTGTTTTCAAAATAAGTGTTATGAAAGCAAAAAAACAAAAATAACTAAAAGATGTTTTCTCATTTTCTTACTTTTAACTTGCAAATTGGAACTGTTTTCTTAGGATGATTTCCTGTTTTCTCAAAGATGGTTGAAAAATGTAATGTGGGTAAGTAATACAGAGAGCTACTGAAGCAAGTGAGGCTGGCCATTATGGAACTGGTGAACATGATAAGCATCCCCATGGCCCTAAACACCATTGTCTGTATCAACATCCCCGATGTCATCTGGCAAGCTGGCTCCGGCACCCCTTTCTCTGCCGCCTAGATCCTTGCCTGCATCCTTTCCATTGGTGCCCCATTTAAGACTTTATTTTATTTTAGAAAACTAAAAACTATTTTTAAAATCAAACAAGCCCCTATTAATTTAAAATTCTATTTCTGTGTATGTTGCAATGGCCTTAACTAGCAGGTTTCTATAGCTGAATTCAATGTATCTTCCATTGATATGTTGGCCTATATTAATGTTTTATCCTGCTTATGAATGACATTCTTTGATAGTTGATTATGCTTGTAGGAAAATTTGTTCTGGCTTATGTCCCATTATGTCAAGAAAAGGAATATTACCTTGCGTGTGCATGTGAAGAGATATACGCCCCACCCAGTGCATACTTTTCTCTGTTTGGATTGACTGTTCAAGCCTCATTCCTCAGAGGTAAGATGATTTTTCTAATTTTCTTTTCCTTTCCTTGCATTTTTACAAATTTGACTTAAACTGGGCATCCTTGATATTTTTTCTTTTCTTAGTGTATCTCACACATGTTTGTGTGTGTCTACATATGTATATGTCTAGCAGTGTGTGTGTGAGTGTGTATATAACTGCATTAGACTCCAATTTGGTCCTTCAAAGATCATTGAACTTAAGATTGGTCCTGCATTTATTAGTTACATCATATTGGTCCTTCAATGCTGATTAATGTCACTTGTTTCATCTTTTTCTAATATCTTTTCCATCAAGTTGGCCTTTACAGTGACGTCTAATTGACCTTTTAAAGGATAAATTGCTGCTATTTAATATGTGGCCAATAAAAGGATAATGATTTAGATTGTTTGGTGGGCCAATTGGATATTTACTTTTATTTTATTTCATTTTTCTGGAGGGGGGACATAGACAGGGGTGTTGGGGCGGGGGG